TGAGGCCTTTAGAGTAGACAGGCTCGCTGTGGCTGAACCCCAGCTAGAGTGTTCACCAGCTCCCAACTGTGTGAACGGTCTTCAACATCTCAGACCCTCGGTTTTTCCATCTGAGCATGATTCGCTTCAGAAACGGAGATGGTGACTGTACAGCCAGCGATCCACAGGAGATTCATAGGAGTGGTTCCTGTTACATAGAATATATTTGTGCATGAAGTATTTGAGTGCCTGGTTCCAGGGAAGTCCCTTTCAACTTCCGGGCTCCGTGCTGGGGATCTGGCTGTGAGCTGGCGCATTGGTGAGGATGCACAAGGCCATGCTACATAACAAACCACCCCCAAATCGCAGGGGCCTCCTAGAGCAGAGATGTATTTCTCTGTCGGGCCACATATCCAACATGTACAGTTGCTCAGGGAGTGGCTGTGCTTCCACGATGGGCCTGGGCGAGAGGACATGGGCAATGGCTTGCCCTTAAAGCTCCCACCGGAAGTGACACAGGTCACTCCCATCCACATTATGTTGGCGGAAGCAAATCATGTGGCTTCACTTACCTTCAAAGGGCAAGGAAAGTGCAATCATACCACATTCCCACAGGAAAAACCAGACTATGTGCGAACAGCGCCGACAATGACCAGTCAGCCAGCTTGTTTCCAGATATAAGGAGCTGACAGGCTTTCGTAAGACACAGTTCATGACTAATTTAGTCTAAGTTTGAGCTGGTACAAGCCTGATTTGTGGTCTCACCTGCCATCCCTAAAATGGGAGCAGCAAGCTTGAACAGGGGCGTATCTTCTGTAATTTCTAATGAACTCGGGTTCAGCATGTGGGTAGAGATTATATAAACACAGACTCTCGGGAAATAAAATGTGCCAACTGCTAGTGACGAGCCACGAGGCCCCCATCCACCTCAGCCTGATGGTGGCCTCGGTCCCTGTGTCTGGCATCACTGGTATTGTCATCTGTCTCCACTCTGGAAGCCAAATACAATTGCAGGCCCTGCTGTCCATGACCCTCCTTTCAGACCAGTGGCAGGCTGGCTGTCACTCGGGCCCCATGGGGCCTCATTTAACAACCAGCTGCATAGTAGGGCCCTTCAGAGATTTCTTGAATCTCCTGGAGTGAGCCCAGAGTTATTTCATTCAGGATACAACCCAGTGACAGGATAGGAGGACATGGGGATGGGGTCATTTGTCCACGACTCCTGAGGAAGGGGGCTTCCAGCCGAGCTCTTCGGGCTGGGGGCATCTCACCCTCTTCCCTCCCTCCCCCCCTTCTTCTCCCTCCCCATGAACACTAGGGCAGGATGCTGGGTGAGGGGCCAGCTGTGGGGCCACAGAGGGAAGTGTGGGCTGGAGAGAGGACATTTGTCTCCCTTTGACGCACTAAAGGGAGCCCAGTGTACTTAGCAAGTGTGTCAGAGGGGGCGTAAGGTCCTGTCTCAGGCAGGCGCCTCACCTGCCTTCCCAGCACCGGAGCTGAGTCAGTCCTGAGAATAACCCACGCAGTGACAAGCCTTGAGTGGTGGAGACGCTTGGGAAGAGGACTGCACAAAGGAATACTGTGCATTCTGTCATCTGAGCATCGTGACAAGGCTATAGCAGTGGGTGGGAAACCAAGACTCAGACGAACATTACAAGTTCATCCCAGGGGCCTCAGCAAGCTAGTGGGAATGCCTGGAACAGATCTGGGCTCCTGACTCCCTGCCCAGTGCTCTGAGGAAACAGGGCATTGATCAAAGGCCAAGGCCCACACCAATGACAGATGTACCTGCGTGTGGCAAAAGGTAGGTCTGGGTTGAGAAAGATCTGTCAGCTTGAATTATTTATTTGGGACTTCTGAGGGAGGACTGGGAAGAATGGAGGTCTTCCCTAGCTCATTCCCACAGAGCAGGAGGCTGTACACAGTGAGAGAGAGACAATCTCAAGCTTCCTTGGGCATGGAAGGTCAGCTTCAGTGCCAAGGGGAAGCCACAGAGTGCCTCCCTGAGCGGAAGCAGAGCCCACCTGCCTAGCTCAGGGGCTAATGCCCCTGCCCTCCATCCTCCCTCTGCCCCTTCCCACCAACCTGTGTCAGAACCACAGACCATACAAGTCAGGAGCAGGACCCTCAGAGAGCACCTCTTCTATACCCTAAGGTGACCCTTAAGAGGAAGAGCCTCAGCTTCCCCACCTGTTGAGTCTAGATTTTTTTTAAAACTTTTTTTTAAAGTAAGCTCTATGCCTAACATGGGACTCAAGCTCACGACCCCAAGATCAAGAGTCCCATGCTCTACTGACTGAGCCAGCCAGGTGCCCCAAATGTAGATTTTTCTAGAAGTATAGGCTGACTACCCAGCAGACACCCCATCACTACCAACCCACCCTAAGTTTGCACTGTTGTGCCTTGGAGGCCCAGGATCTTCCTGGCTCGCTCTGTGCTGAGGTTCAGCCGGGGGCTCCTGAGAATATCGGGGAATGACAGTGCCTCTTGGGTCTTGCTGACATCCCCAGCCAGAAAGTCCCAAGAAGGTCAATACCAAGCCCTGGCTCTAGGTTGGCCTGCCCTGACACCTCATGATGGTGTCTGCAGAGGTGCGCGCCCCCCCCGCCACCACCACCACTGGGACATGCACTCACTTCACCAGGTTGGAGGAGGGCAGGCCAGGGGTAGTCAGGAAGGGAGAGACCAGGCCTGGAGCACAAGAAAACCTGGGTCCTGTCCCAGCACAGCCAGTGACTTGCAGGTGACTTTGGCCAAGTCCCAGCCTCCTTGGGGCTCAATTTCCTGACTTTCAAAGTGGGTACACAGCAGCCCTCAGCCTCCCCGCTGCATGGCGGGGAAGTGCGCGATGGGGCGAAGGTGTCTGCTCCCTCCTTACTGGTGGGGTGCACACAGGCAAGTTACTTAACCTCTCATTTTCCCCATCTGTGAAACAGGCTGATAACACTACCTCGTCAGGTATTTGTGAAGCTTGCGTGGGTTGATCTATACAACACATCTGGAACACTGCCTGCCTGGCCCTCAGCAAGCTCTCTGGCTTTACTACCACTTACTTTATCTCCTCCTCATGCCACCACTGCGAGGCGACGCCGATGTCCTCAGAGCCCCTCTTAGAGTGTGGGGAAGAAGAGTGGTGGGCTGCCCCTCGTGCCAGCACGAGGGCTCGCCTGGGATGCCCCCTGGATGCGTCCGCACGGCTGGGCTGGCTCGGCAAGGCCACGCCTGATTGGTTGGTGCTGGGCCACCTTGGTTTTTCTCTTCTTCCTTCCTTCTTGCCTTCACCAAACTGGCAAGTAGGACTGGGTTTGCCAAGCAGTTGTGCTATCTTGTCCCGTATCAACTTATCCCTGAGCCGATTTTGGATCTGCCCCTGCATCTAGATGCCTCCTACCAACTTCTCAGCTCGTGGAACAGCCTCCAAGTGGGGCTCCCGCTGTGCAGTCTGAGAGCAGGCCCGAGGTAAGGCCTAGGCTGTTGCGTCAGCACAGCCCCTTGCCATTAGGCCTCAGGTTCCCCCCCGCCCCTGCCGCCTGGCCCGGCAACCCTAACCTCCCCGTTCGTGCTCCAGCCACACAGGCAGCTCTCAGAAGCCTCGTCCTGCACGTGGCAAAGCAAATGCACATACCAGGCAAAACACCTCCCCCTTCCTAAAGGGGCACTCTGTGTTCGGAAAGACAGTAGACAACGTGAGGACCCCTGGGAGGCTGGGGGGTGGGGGTGGGGATAAATGGGTTGGGCTGAGGCTTTCAGCGCCACCTGGTGCCAGAGGTCCAGGTGGGTGGCGGAGGGTCTCTCTGAGCTGGGGTTGTGAACAAATTGACAGGCACTCCCTGCATGGAGCCAGCTGGCCATGCCCATGCCATGGTCTGGACTGAGGTCGTTTAGAGCATTAATCATGTCCAGTGCTGCCTAGCTTGCTGGCATCCTTGGCCAGGAGTCCAGCAGAGGAGAGGGTATTAATAACTCGGTGGTGATGGGCACCCCTGTGGGAATGTCCTCTCAGATGTGATAGGACGAATGTGGCCAGAAGAGCCTCCCCTCAGTGTCTCCTTGGGCACTCCCCTGAGACAAAGTCAGAATGTCTTTCGGGGCTGTATTTGCAGCCCAGAGTTTCAGCAAGCCTGCTCTTAGGGAGGAAAAGGGAGCGGCAGGTCGTAAAGAATGAGGCCCCCCTTTCCTCCTGCCTCGCCCCTGGCCTGCACCAGAGCCCGGTCTGGTCCCCACTTCCCTCATGTCCAAAGCAGCGGTGAGAAACACTGCCTTCTTTACAACCCAGAGCTGTTGGGAAGATATGACCACCCCGGCAATAACGCTAGAAATAATTATGATAAATCACATTTATTGAGTACTTAGCTCTGGGCCCTTGGCTAACCTTTTCACGGGCTGTATCTCAATTTTGTCCTACATGCATGAAGTAAGTATCCTTACTATTTCATTTTATAGATGCGGAAACTGAGGCCCAGAGAGGTTTGGTAACTTCTCAGAGTCACATGGCAATTATGTCGTGGAGCCATAATGCAGACTCATGTGCACAGCTGTGCTGTACCAAAGTGAAGCTTTCCTGTACCCCCCGAGCCCCTGCAAGAGGCCGAGTGCCCTGACAGCAGGGACTCTGCTCTCCTCTTGGGCCTGCAACAAATGTTCCCAGAGGCAGGCAGGAAACATGGTATGAGGAGTTAAGACACAGTCTCTGCGCTCTGGAAGCCTATGGTTGTATTATTTGATTTTTTTAAAAAATGTTTTAATATTTAAATTCAAAAGCACAGGACAGTATTTAGAAAAGTCTACCTCTCATCCTGGCTCCCTGGAGCAACCACCATTTCTAGTTTCTTATAACAGATTATTCTAGAAGTGACTGATGCCTCTTTACGGTCTTGTTCAACTACCGGTGGGTCGTGGCTAGGAACTGTGGGTCCTTCCGCTCCTCCCAGCACCCCATCTCCCTCACACCATTTCCACCTTCCTCCTGTGCTTTCCAGGGGCCCCCTCCCAGGCCGACAGACAGAGGGACAGCTGTGCTCTGACGGTGATAGAGGCCAAGAAAGCAAGAGCTGAGGACCACTGACAGCCCCGCCTCCTGTCCCGGAAGCTGCCACTTCTACCCCAGGCCTTCCCCCCGCGGACACATGGTCGTGCAGGACAGCACGGATGCTGGGGACGCCAGAGTGGGTGTGCGGCTAGAGCCCTTCCTGCACCAGGTCGGGGGGCACCTGAGCGTGATGAAGTACGACGAGCACACCGTGTGCAAGCCCCTCATCTTCCAGGAGCAGAGGTTCTACGAATCGCTGCCTCTGGCCATGAAGCGGTTCACTCCGCAGTACAAGGGTGAGTGTCCAGGCAGCAAGCCGTGGCTCTGTGCCCACCATACCAGGCCGGGCTCATGTGCGCGCCCCCCGTCGCCTCCCCGGGCACCGTGCTGCGGGTGAGGGTTGACATGGAGACAAGCCCCTCTCCCACAGCCCGATTGGCCTTCGCTGTCCTAGTTTCTCTGAACTCTCGAGCCTCTGGGCCTGGAGTCTAATGCCATTTGACATCCCTACAAATTAGCTCAAGCCACTAGGCTTCAAGGAACTGAGAATGGAATAAAATGATACCCCGGCCCCACGCTGCCCTGCTAGGGTATCTGCTCCGTGCTTCAGGAGCGCCATGGCTGGGTCCTGTGACCAGGGCTGGGACAGACAGGGCAGGCCAAGGCCTCCTTCCCCTCCCTCCGGAGACCCAGGCGGGTGGCAGGAGCCTCAGGCCTGGGTCAGGGCGGGAAGGAGCTGGGACCTGACACGGTTAGGAAACCAGAATTCCTCATCCTCTTCTAGTGGCCAAACCAGGGCCACAGGCTGCCTTCCCGGTAGAGGTGGGGGAGTGGGGCACAGAGCATGTGTGTTCTGATCTGAGTCCAGGGTGGGTTCTGGGGAGTGAAGTCTGGGTGGGCAGGGCCACCATTTGGGGGCCTGCAGGCAGGGGCACTCTGGGCAGCAGGCCAGCATCCAGGGGGCAGGCTTTTTGTCCACATCCGGCCTTCAGTAAATGCGGCTCACAGGGCTCAGGGCATGACTGCCAGCCGCCAGCCCCTCAATGGGATGAGTGCCCAGAGAAAAGACCTCTTTTAAAGGTCTTTGAATGTTGTGACTACAAGCTTTTGCCCTCGAATAAGCATCTGTAGTAAAAGTGATTATAGCATCCAAATCAGTCAAAAACTCACTTGCATTTCAAAGATCAAATAACTGGGAAGGATGGGGCCTAGCTCTATGGGTACTTCTCAGAGTGGGCTCTGGGATTGATCAAGGCTGGGGTAGGGGTTCACATGCAGATTCCCAGGCTCCCTTCCCAGAACCCCTGGGGTCAGGGCCCAGGAATCTGTATTCAGCATGTCCCAGCTTGAGACTCACTGATAGGGGGCCAAGGCATTGAGCCCCAAGCACCACTTCAGTCCTGCCTTGCCAAGACCTTCCGAGAGTCTGAGATGAGACCCATGAGCATCACAGGCTGCGAGAGAGGGCCGGGTGGCCAGTGTGCAGCCTGTGCAGGCCTCCCCTGGGGCCTCTGGGGCCGCAGGCCAGGGTCGCCCATCAGTTGTGGGTCACTGCCCAGCTCGTCAGAGTGCCCACTGGAATGAATGTCTGTCCTTTCGCAACTGAACTCAACCTAGCAAAGGGGTGGCAGGGTCTTGCGTGGGGTGGCCTCCCGCCTGCAGCATCTCACGCTTGTTGGACACAGCTCTGGGGCTGAGACAGATTGCCAAGGCAGCCACAGGCAGAGCAGGAAAGTGAAAGAGGCTGCGTGGTCTCCAGGACCCCATCCCGGTGCCTTTCCTGTGTCCTATCTACACGTGCCCATTCCTCTGGGTGGGGGAGAATGGCACCCTTCTCGGGCACCCTCAGGCACCGGTCTACTGTCCAGACCCCTACTCTACCCTGCCCCGCAGGCCCGATCGGGCCCATCCCTGGTACCGCCTGCCTTAGGGCTCTGCTAACTTGATAGATTAACTTAAGCCAAGGCACCCCAGCTACACATACCAATGGCCACAGAGCATGTTCCAGGCTCTGCCTTGGGGCTTCACCCAGGAGACGGTGTTTCCACACAAGTCGGGAGGGGGCTGGGTCAGGGAACCACAGGACACCCCACAGGGGAGACCACACAGCCCTGCTGAGGGTGAGGGTGAGGTAGAGCCCACAGACTTGGGTGACACCCAAACATGAGGATTCCGTGGTGCAGAAATGTGGATTCACTCAACAGCCAGAAGGCGGTCTGTGGAGTGCCAAGGGCCAGGCACCACTTAAGGAAATGCACATCTAGGGAGACAGTAGAGAAAGGCCCAGAACCAGGACCCTCACACTCTCAGATCCCTGGAGCAGGTAGCTGAGGTCAGGTTTCAGACGGGAAATGGTCCCTCCAAGGGCTCCCAGGCTGCACAGGCTTCTTGCTTCACCGGATAAGAAAAGTGGTCTCAGCTAACCCTCAGCATTCACTCAGTGCCAAACACAACTGTAAATTGTTCCCCTGTATCAAGTCAATCCTCGTAACAACTTTCCGAGGCAGGCACTACTATTATCCCCATTTCACAGGTGAGGAGACCGAGGCCCAGAGTGGTGACATGACTTGCCTGAGGCCACACAGCCAATGAGAGGAAGAGCCACGATTAAAGGTCCGAGGTCTGGCTCCCAAGTGTGGGCTCTTGGCCACCCAGGCCCACTCCACCAGCCACTGCTACCCACGAGATGGGCTCTTCGGATGCCGGTGCTCAGGGGGTCTGTGGCCCAATGAAGGAGGGGATGTGACTTGCCCAGAGTCACTCAACAAGTGACCTCAGGTCAGGCTGCCACAGCAGGGACTCCCTTTCTCTCCCCCTGGGAAGGGCCCCAGAGAGAGGGGCTATTTCTGTAGTGGCCACTGAGTGCCATGGAGCACACCCTCTCCCTTCTCAACGCCCTGCACTGTGATGGCATCAGGGAGCACTGGACAGGGACGTCACTCCTAAGGGTGGCCTCCCCATGCTGGGAGCTTGCCCGGACCTTTTGCTGGGCTCCTCGGGCATGGCAACATCTTGGGGCTGCGTCCCTCTGCCTCCCAGTGTACCTGTCAGCCTTGGGTGAGCAAGGACATACTCCTGAGTATGTGAATAAATGCTCTCGTGAGCTTAAAAATAAATACATGACAGAATATTCCCGGAGACTGGGGAACTGCTTGGCCAAACCGAAATTGCTGAGATGCTCTGGGCATGGCACTTGTGGCTGTAAGCACTCCTGTTTGCCCAGCTGGCCTGACTGCAGATTGAGGTGCCTGGGGAGGGCTGGGAGCAGGCAGACAAAGCTGTCCCCTGCTCCTCCCCCTGCCCCAGGCAGAGTCGGCAGAGTGCTGGGAGCCCACATCCCTCCAGGCCTAGCCCCATGGACACACAAAGTAAGTTGGTCCCACGCTGGGACCAACACAATTGACTAAAAACCAATCCAAGTCCCAAGGGGTCTGGATTCCACTGACAGGCTGCTGCAGTAAAGAGCTGGCAACTGGAGACCGTTTGCAGGGCGGCTATCTGCTATGGGTCTCGGGCTTCAGAGCAAGGTCTGGGCTGCGCTGGAGAGGGATGTGGGAGAGAAGACGGATAGGTGGAGACACAGAGCCAGAGGCGTGCGGGAAGACAGAGCAGGGACACGAAGTCTGGCTGGGTAGCTCTGACAATATGAGAAATAGAAATGATTTTTGGATCTTACTGGTTTTGGGTTATTTTGCACCCCTGCTTGCCTCCATTTATTTAGACACTCAAATCTGATGAGATCAGACAAGAGTTGGAGCCCAGAGAAGCAGGGGAAGGTCACATTTCTTGTCCTTCCAGAGAGGCCTCGTGGGGCTGGGGCTCCCAGAGACAGTGGTTTCTGGCGAGCGTGTCACCACAGTCCCACAGCGGGAAAGGTCAGATGGTGAGCTGAACTTTACAAAAGACCCAAAAGGGCTTCGCCCTTGGCTGGCACACCGTCCTGGGCTCCCCAGCAGCCAGGAGGCTCCAAGCTCCCCAAGGACAAGCAAGGAGGCCAGCACGCTCTCCTTTCCCCATGGCAGGGGGTGGGCTCTGGGGCCTGGTGCTGGCTTCCAGGTGGGCCCTCCTCCCCAGAACAAGCACACCAGCCCTCCTGCCTGAGGAAATAGGAACGGAAAAGTAGACACCACGTCCTTGGGCTTCTTGGCACTCTCGACCCTTTGTACTGATGACCCTCCCAAAACAGGTTTCTCTGTTCGCTCCCACGGAACACAATGGCCAAAGCAAATGTGATAAGGACAGACAGGAGCGTGCCTCATCCCCACACAAGTAAACACAGCGTGACCACACCGGAGTCTCCCGATAAAGCCCTTGGCTCCGTGTTACAGCTTGTTCCTTCTTCCATAGCCACGTCTGCTGTGGCCTTTCTCAGAGCTCCACCCCTTACTATGTGACCTTGGGCACATCATTCCATCTCCTGAGTCTCGGTGACTACAGGCAAGGGCCTCGCAGGCCTGCCATCACTCCATGGTAACAGACGAAAGGCCCGGGAGCTGGCACACGGCAGTGATTATGACCAACGCAGCTCTTTTCCTGACCTGCCATCAGCCCCCTGTTCTCACGAGCAGAGCCCCTCTGGTGGGCATGCCCGGTTCAGGTAAACGACAAAACGCCAGGTTCAGGTACAGTATTAGCAGCAGTATCATTCATTCCCGGGACTCAGGGGCCTGAGATGAGCTGAAACAACGCAGAATTTTTTTAAGGAGCTAGAAAGAACTGAATGTCACTCTCAGGCTGCAAAATTAGGGCACCGGGAATCTGAGATGACAGGACTAGCCCAGAGAGACCGCTGAGCTAGGCACAGATGGCCCTGAAGAGCAACTTGCTGAATTATAGAGCAGCCCTGAAAATGAGCGTCTGCACTGACCAGCCCGGGCAGGGACGCAAGCAGGGAAATCAGCTGCCTTGAGTGCTGGTTCAGCAGAAATTACCACTTGCACTGAGAAAGTGACCAAGTGGCCAGGGGAGGAAATAAATACCTGAGGGGACCTGATCACATGCAGCCCACCTTCTCTCAGTCAGAGTCCCGGCAGGAAATGAGCGGTATACTGAACGGGGTTTAAGTGAAGAGAGTTTTCAAAGGGACGGCTCATAGAAGCGCTCGCAGGATTAAGGGGACCGGGGGTGATGAGGCACTCAGGACCAGCACCCCTGAAAGGCTGTGACCACCCCTAGGCCTGAAGGGAATGGGGTCACGGACATAGGGAAAGGGAGGCCACAGAGGGACAGGACCATGCTGCAGCAGGGAGGGAACCAGTGGGATAAATACCTCGATCTTTCTCCTGCCTCACCCCATCTCCTGCCAATGTCCTCTGTTGGCCCAACCCCTGGGAAACCAGGGCCGAGGAAGCCACTGGTGCACCCCCTAGGGTCAACCTGGCAGGCACAAAGCAGGGCAGAGACAGGTGGAGGGTGGCTTGGTGGGAAAAGGAGCCACCAGAACAGTCATGGCATCAGCTGCAGGAAGAACAGGGAACCAAGGACTCTAGAGAGCCAGTCCTCGCAAAGCCATTTGTGGGGCTATCTCCCGTGCCACCGGCAAGAATAGAGCTCCATCTCCACCAGAACTCTAGCACGGCCGGGCACCCACTTAGCTCAGACGCTGAGCCCCATGGGGGGAGACCCAGACTGTGCCGCCAGAGCGAGAAATCCGAAACGGTGACCACAGAGCCGGTGACACGCGTGCCAGACCTAATTACCTGACCTGGCCCATGTCCCGGAGGAGAAGCCAATTAGCACGTTTGTTCACTGGGGTTCCTCACACTCTCCACTCTCACAAGCAGCAACTGGAGCAGGCTGCCATGCCTTGATTACAAACACCGATGGTCAGGAGTGACTGTAGCTGGAGAAACCCCACAAGTCTCCTGTCTTCTATCACAGAACCATGTTCCGTCAATAATATTCATGTGCTGTGTGTCTAACTGAAGGAGATGGTGGGCATCCGTGTTAAAGCCAGAGATCAGGGTGTGGGGAGAGGTCTAAATGAAGGGGACACAAAAGCCGAGCCCCGGAAGGCTGTCTGAGGCGGGCTTCCTGGAAGAAGCTGGTCAGACAGAGAGAAAGGGAAGGGAGAGGAAGGATGATGGAGGCAGAGGGGAGGAATGGGATGGGCCCCAGCTTCCCTCACAGCCACCCTGAGGCAGGGGGCCCTCTTTGTGGAGGACCAGCTCTGATGACCCCAGGCTGGGCCCCACTGGAACAGCTCTGCTGTGACTGGGAATGTGCCACCGTGCACCGAGGAGCCAGAAGGTGAGAACAAAATGTACAGGGCTGGCTTTGTTCAAAGCATGAAAGGGCAGAGAGATGCAATGAAGCAGACCAGCCCAAGGCTATTTTCTGCAGGCTCCATGGCCCTGGGCTCATTCTGGAACAGTCCTCATAGTTCTTCCTTGAGAGAGGAGTTAGGGAAGGGGGAGGGGGGAGGTTGATCAGTGCCATTAAACTACCATTCAAAAGGATGTCACCCCTTACAACGTGTCCACCAGGTAAATTCCGTCTGATCTCCCCCCCCCCCCCCGTGTGCTCTGCAGGCACCATCACGGTGCACCTCCAAAGAGACAGCCGAGGCCATCTCAGCCTGGTGGCCACCCCGCTGAAGGAGAACCGGGGGCCCTTCAAGGTCTCCACGGAGTCGGCGGCAGTGGCCATATGGCAGACTCTCCAGCAGACCACCGGCAGTACTGGTGGCGCCCACCCCCTCGCCCAGTGGCAGCTGGCTCACTCGCTCGAGGAGAGGTGAGGGCCACATGGCAGGATGACAGAAACCTAGCAGGGACCAGCTCCGCTCCCACCTGCGCCAAGGTCCACAGCTCCCCAAAAGGGCCGAGGAAGTGACAAATCCACAGGAAGCCTCCTTCTAGAAACACCAATGCAACCAAAGAAAGGAATGAATTTTCCTTCACGCAGTTTTTTAGAGGGAGGACTCCGACGCATTTATGTCAGAGGCTGCCACAAACGTAGAGTCCTATACAGAGCAGGCATTCGGTGCATATTTGTTCAATTACATACCGATTTCACTGAGACCATGCAATGTCTCCAGATGGGGGTGGGGGGAATGCAGAAACCCAGAAGGGGTGACACAAAGGAAAAGTGGCTAATGGCAGTCCGAAATCACCTTTCCTCAGTGGCCAGGAAGGGATGAGGAGAGAGGTCAACGCAGCCCCCCATGGGACCTTGGAGACCAGGCAGTTCAGGGCACCCGAGGTCCCAGAGAGATCTCCAGAACCTCTGATAATGTTAGCTGACCTTTCTCAGATGAAAAGGACCCCTGGGGACTTATAAAACATTTATGGGAAACAAAAGTGAGCTAATACAATGAAAGTACCTCCCTTCCCCAAGGAGCACAGCGGATCTAATTAAGCCTCTTGGCTCAGCGTCAGGAAGCGGGTACGCATTATCTCCATTTCACAGATGGGTAAGCCAAGATGCAAAGGACAGGAGAGAGGGCGGACCAAAGATCCAGGATTCCCAGCCCTGAGGGCCTTTTGAGGTCTCAAGGAAATAACAACACGGCATGCTCACAGCCTAAACTCCCAGCCTTCTGATTCCAGGCAGGGTCGCTTGTTCCCACACCACATCGCCTCAATAGTGCAAGCGGAACCCAGATCACTTACAAGTGAATTTAACCCTCCCCCGGCCCCGCCCAGCCCTCTGAGGAGGCGACATGCTCTAATGCGTTCTTCTGGGGTTCGGAGAGACGCCCTGCCAGGGCTGCAGTGTGGCCCGATCTCATGCCCAGGGCCTGAATGGGGCAGGAGGGGCACTCCGAGACCCTGCAGGCAGCGTGGAGAGCAGCCAGGGACAGTCCGTGTCAGAACCCAGCTCAGGAGAGCCCCGCCCCAGGGACAGGCACCTTCCCCAGCCCTCCGGCCAGGCTGCCCTGACTGTGGTGCGCCTCCCTCTCCCGCAGCCCTGCCACGTCGCTCCTGAGGTCTGACTTCCACCTCAATGCCCCGGTGTCCTCGCTGGTGGAAGATGCTAAAGGGAACCAGGCCGAGAGGAGGAGCTTCAACCCGTGGGGCCTGCAGTGCCACCAGGCCCACCTGACCCGCCTGTGCACCGAGTACCCGGAGAACCAGCGGCACCGTATCCCTGTCAGAGGGCGGGGGAGCGGAGGGAGGTGACAGAGACAGACAGGGGCGCAGGGACAGAAGGGGGAGACACAGACACGGGGCCAGGGGAGGGGTGGGCGGGGAGAGACTGATAGGAGGGAGACGTCGAGGCACAGGCCCTCAAACCTAGGACCTAGAAGAAATCTAATCTCTCCAAAAGAAAAATCAAAGAATATGGGGGAAGTTGGACTGGGAATTAGGTTGAACACAGTGCCCGTGGCCAGGCCACTGGCTGTGTCGCTGCCACCTGGGCAGAGGGGCTGGGCTGGACTGGGGGTCTCTGTGGGCAGAGAGGAATGATGACGGCCATGCTGGGTGGGGGTGGCAGGGGGCTCAGAGGGCTGGGTGGGTTCCCCACACCCCAGCCTCCCTTCTAGCCCTCCAAATTCTCCCCGCAGATGTCTTCCTATGGAGCTGATGGGGTGAGGGGGTGTGGTACCCCCCTCAGGGAAGTGCCCGAGCGGGGGATTTTTAGGGGAGGTTCTCCCCCCTCATCCTCAGGCTGCCATGTTCTCAGTGAGTACATTTAGGCTTGAAATACCCCCTTGTCAGTGCTGGGCTCCTTCCCGCAAACGGGTGACTGGTTTCACAGTATTTACTAAGACACATCTGCAACCCTAATCCCTAAGAAGCTTTTGCAGCATAATTACTCCGCTGAAATTAATATTCCTGCAACTCATCTCCAAAGCTTACATCAACCCACTTCTCCCAAAAGGTACTGGCCCATTCAGTGACTAGAGGTTTTAGCCTTATGATTTTCTGCCATAAAATGTAAATTGGGCACGGCCTGCCAGAGATTTCACGCCTGCATTTAAATTCCAACCTCAGAGCAAAAAGGAAAAGGAAAAGAAGCTCACATAGACATAAACTCCCCCTAAATAAATGGACTTCTTAAAGCAGCCTGCAAAGCTAATACTATGAATTCTCAAGAGGGATGATGGGCTTGTCTGTGAGGAGCTGGGAGAGAAGGAACGGTGCTCAGAGGAGGGGGTCCCAGGCAGCCGCCAAGGCGCGCTAACTGCCTCCACAGGGGCCTCAGTCTTCATGTCCACAGAGCCTTCCTGAGCTTAGCGTGACCAGGGTTTCTGTTGCTGGAAAACGTCGTGTCACAGTACAAGCACCCCTGTATCCTGGACCTGAAGATGGGAACCCGGCAGCACGGGGATGACGCGTCCGAAGAGAAGAAGGCCCGCCACGTGAGGAAGTGTGCGCAGAGCACCTCGGCCTGCCTGGGCGTGCGCATCTGTGGCATGCAGGTCAGTGGCAGAGGGCCTGCTGCAGGGCTGGGCGTCTGGCGTGTGCACTGCGGGGCAGGGGTGTCTCCCAAGCGGACACCACTGCCCACAGAGCCAGCCACCCAGGAGGCAGCCGGGCACGGCCCTCCCACACAGGAAGGGCAGACCCCACTCTAGGACACGCTGGGATCTCTGTAAGAGCCCCTTTCAGGGCAGTGGTGCCAAAAAGCTGCCATTTTTTTTTTAAACTCGGTCTCAGGGTCTCCGGCTGCTGAAACTTCCCAGTGGCCACGTGGGGCCTGTCCACGTTGAGAGCAGACCTCTGGTGACAGTGTGGGGGGGGGGCTGGGGACAGAACTGAAAAAGAGCTTCTCTGTGCACTCCATGGCTTCTTCAGTCTCTTAAAGGATACAGCTGAATCCTCTCCTTCTCAGGTGCCATAAGGCACTCTGCTCTCTGAATTCTCATTAGCCGTTCCTTCTTCCTACGCCACGTCTTCTGCTTCTTCTTGCTACCTGTTCTGGTTAATGAAGTGGGAAGGTCGTAGCCTGCTCAGCTGAGGCAAAGGAATGGTTAATTTTTTTATTGCCCAGACTCTACCCCATTTTTGTAGCTCTGATGTGGCTCGTGGCAGGGGCTGCAGAACGGGAAGAAATAAACTTTCCCCACTTGTTTGCTCTTAGCGTCTATCTCCTCAAAGCAAAACCAGACACTGGTGTGACGGTACACGTTAAAGCTTTCCTTAATTGAAACTGCCACCCCTTGAAGCTGGGAGTGGAGTCTATAAATTTGTTGCACAGATGTCCCCTGGAAGGCTGGGAATGCAGTCCTCAAGAGAATGGAGTGTGATGGTTTGGGGTGTAAATGGAATCTCTCTCCGGACTTCCAATCTTCTGAAAATGATCTCATTTATTTAGACAGTGATGCCTGTCATGTATTTATGACGGCTAATTTAACAGCCCATCTCCAGCCCTCCAAAGCAAGTCTACCATAGCTTTCTGATTTTTTTTCCCACACTGGTTTTCCACAAACATACCACGTAATCGGAAGGCAGGAGAGACCTGAGAAACTGTCTTGGCCGGGTATGGGCTGCCCTTCCCAGGTGTGCCAGACAGAAGTGAGCCAAGTCATGGCCACGCCAGCCACTGGCCTCCATACAGCCTCTGCCTCTGCCTGTGCCATCTGAATGAAACGGGAGCGGCTGCCACTGTCCCCCCAGCAGCATCTCCTCCATCTGCTCCCTTCTGGTGGCCAAGACATGACAGGGGAGGGGGAGAGGAGCTGGTGCCAAGGAGGAGCCACCAGCCCCATAGAGCTGCTGCGAACCTGCCCGTTCCATCCCGGCTCCCCTCAGCTGCACTGGCTGCCTGAAAACCCCATCCCTACCTCACCCAGCCTGGCTTTTCATCTTTTTATCTTCAGTCAACCCTGCTTTACCCCAAGAGCCATGACTGTTTCCTTAGAATCTGCAGAGAAAGGACTTTATAAACTTCGCTGGGGAAAATTGAATCTAGCTGGCTTTCCAAGGCCATTGGCTGTGATCTCAGATTCCTACTAAAGCGTTCTAGCTTGGGTTTGCTAATATTTGAATTGAAGAAGGCCAGGAGCCAGGGTTTAAATCATGATTTGGAGGATGACACTGGAAATTCACAAGAAAGTCGATCCAAAGCTTTTCCTTATGGGCGGAGGGTCACCTTTGTGGGGTGAAGGATATGTAGAGCTTGGATTCCTATTAAGGGCGTACACAGAAAGCATTTTAAAATGTGAAAGTTCCTCTGGTACTTGATGAAAGATCATCCTTCCATTCATTTCAGCCATTCTTGCCCTGCATCTCCTGGAAATCTGTTTATATGTCATGCTAGCTTGTAACACTGCAACCGTAGCAGTTGCAAGCTTTTTCTTGAGTTGGCAATTCTTCACGTCTTCTTTCTCTTTTTATTACCAGGTTTATCAAGTTGATAAGAAGCACTTTCTCTGCAAAGACAAGTACTATGGAAGAAAACTCTCCGTCGAGGGCTTCCGACAAGCCCTCCATCAGTTCCTGCATGACGGAACCCGCTTCCGGACAGAGCTCCTGGAGCCCATACAGCGCCGGCTCCAGGCCCTCCTCTCGGTCATTAGGAGCCAGAGTTCGTACCGGTTCTACTCCAGCTCTCTCCTCATCATCTATGATGGGCAGGAGCCACCAGAAAGGACCCCAGGGGGCCTGCATCCTCAGGAGGCTCCACAGACGGCCCACGGCAGCTCTTCCGGAGGTCTCACCAAAGTTGACATCCGGATGATCGACTTTGCTCATACAACATACAAAGGCTCCTGGAACGAGCACACCACTTATGATGGACCAGATCCAGGCTATATTTTTGGCCTAGAAAACCTCATCCAGATCCTGCAGGATATTCAAGAGGGAGAATGAGGCTTGTTGGGCCTATCCAGATTTTTCTGGAGTATAGCTCTCAAAAGGGACCTACTGGTAGCCAAGTTAGTCCAGACACTGTTAGATGTCTTTGTCATAATTATATCCACATTCAAAAGCCACACATGGCAGGGTATATTAATGGCGGCTACAGAAACCAGCTCTGGAGGTAAGTCCCGTACTCTGGCACCTGCTAATGCTGGTCTTCGGAGGCTGGACTGTCAGTGTGAAATGGCACCATTGTGGAGTACACTGGAGGGCTGCGGCATGAGGGAGAAGCCAGCATTACAGTGAGATTCTGGAGAATTTGCATTTAAAAATGCTTTTTTGTTGTCACGCTGAAGTCTTGGCAAGCTGTGAGGCAAAAAACTCTACTTGAAGAAGACTAGAAGAGTGAGTTCACGAGTGTATGGTTTTTCTGCTCGCATGGGCTGCCCATCCCAAGAGCAGACAGAGCTCATGAACGACTGTCTCTTATCTTCCTAAGAGGCATTTAGGTGGGGCAAGAAGAAGTGGGACAGATCTGCCCGTCTCACCAGCTTCCTACCCAGGGTCTGAATGGGCAAGGGCAATCCAGACACAGCCCTGGCAAATCAAGACCCCGGGTTCTCCATTTTGCCCGTGGAGGCAAGGGTCTCTCTTTCTAGACGTCCGAGTACCTATTGGAAGTGATGCCTCTGCCCGATTCTGGCCACAAAACGGCTCTAACCATGAACTGCAGCTTCTGGTAGGGGTGGACTGTGCAAAAGGATGAGCCACTGCTGTTAAATTCTATTTATTTATTTTGGGGGTGGGGTGGGGGAGTCGGGAGAGAGAAGCCTGGAGGGCTGAGGAAACCAGGCGCAATGTTTACAAGACTGGTGGACAAGTGTAAATATGGAACAAAGAGCAAACAGTTCTAATTAATTCCTTCTTCTGCAGTGTGGAAACCTATTACAATGCCCTTGAGTTGAGCATGAAGATACGTTACCCAATTAGGGAAATAAATTTGTTAATAAAATTGCTGAGGTCACCAGTGATTACTTGGTGCACCTTATTACCCTTTCTGTTTGTTTATTCTGATCATCACACTGTACGGCAGTTCCAATTTATGGGTGACGAGAGTGTACAGCAAGAACAGTTCACCGATTTCTTGCAATCCTTTGGGGATCCCGGGGGGGAAATGGTGGCTAATCAAATATTTCCATGTATCTACAAGGCAGGTACCAGACCTCGTAAGTGGTCCTTTTATCTGAACTTTCTATAATGCAAAGTAAAATAATTTTATTCTCATGGTTAATTACCATCAACTGTCCAAAAATCCACACTTACAGAAGGAAAGAGGCCTGGATTAAAAAAAAGAAAAATTTTTTTTTGTTTAATTTTAGGATACATTATATGGAGTTCAAAGCAAGTTAACTTCCCTAATTATGTTTGGCTGAGGTAACGATGTGATTAATTTGCATGTTCTGCACCCATGGTGGGAGAATTGAGTCAAAGTATGTTGGGTGGCAAAAAGGAAGTCAGCCGAAAACTAAATATTTGCTAATGACAAAATGGAGCCCTAACTACTGCTTTTTCTAGGCCACTTCCTTGCTTAAAAATCTGGTTCTACCAAGTCTGAAGCTCCCTGCCTTAGCTTCCAATTCCTGGCCCCATTCTCAGCCCTGGGTGCTGTGGGACCTGCCTGAGGACTGGGGGAGGGGGGGTCAGCTAGAATATAAGTCTTTTAGGGCTGGCCACCCATGTCACTAACTGTGCTGCAATCACTCTCCTGGCCCCTGTCTATGTGACCCATCTTCCCTCAGCCCCTCCCTTATCCAACAATGCCCTGCACAGGAGGCCTTCTTCCTGCTCTGCCAAACCCTTGAGGCCCAAACGAACTCCCCACATGCCCCTGAAGATGTCACCAACAAAAGTGCATTTTGTTGCAAGGGGCAAAGCTGGCTACTGGTTTCAGACTGTGGGCTCAGAGGAGTCACCACCGTCTGGAAATTTGCACAAGGCTTTGCTGACCCAGCTGAATGAGTCCACCCAAGCATTGCAAACCTAGGCAGAGGGAGAAGAACAGAGAGGTATGGGAAGAAAAGAAGATGGCAGCATGTACGTATTTGATCTCCAATGGGAGTTTACTTTAAAATGGCAAAAGAGGTGAGGGGGCCCTGAATATCCGGTACCCAGCAAGTGTACACTGAACTAAGCAGCTCTTCCCTGCCGATCTTTTTGCTAAGTACTGGGGAAGATCCATCTCCTGGGAGCTTAGATTCTAGTTGAGGAGGCAAGAATCCCGCACAGGAACTGACAACAAACTGCACAAAGACAATACCCAGTGACACAGAGGATTCATCTGTGAGGTGCAGAGGATCAATCCTACAAGTTGAAGAGGTTGGTCCACAGCCAAAAGAGAAACACACATCATGTGACAGCTGACACACATCACAGAAACTGCTAGAGGAGGTGAGACTTCACTTAGGCCCTGAACAATGACAAGAATGGGGAAGGGGCTGGCTGAGTGGAGGGAAGGAAAAGCCCAGCATGCTCATGAGTCTATGGACAGACAACCCATCCAGAATGGGGATTTGGTGGTTGGGAGTGGTAAAGTGAAGAGGAGAGAAATGGAGTGAGTCCAGATGGTGGAGACATTTGAAAATCTGGCCAAGGAGCTCATTCATTTGTGATTACATTAGTCTGTCCTTCTTTCCCTCCATTCACCCAACCAACGAATATTTTCCAAGTGCCTGGTACAGACGGCACAGTGCTAGGACCTATGCAAGAAACAAGAAGTATGAGGATCATGTCATTGTCCTTAAGAACCTTATGACTTAATGAGAAGGTGAAGACCCTCAGGTGAAAATATAAGGGGTGCTTCAACAAGGCATGGGGGCCATTTGTGCAGCCATGCAGAGCGCTGCCCAGGAGAAGAGAGGCAGTGAGGGCTCAACTCCACGTGGGGTGATCACGGAGGTGGTCTCTGAGCTGTGCCTTGAAAGGGAGGCAAGTCTGAGAGGTGATCAAGAAGGCAGGTACTATGGACAAGCACAGCAACAGGAATCAGGCATTTTGCTCAGGGAACAGCGGGGTGGCGGCTGGCTACGGGGGTTGATGTGAAGAGGCACCAGGAGAGATTAAGATGAAAATGGAGAAAACCCAGCACTTTCGGACTGTCAGGGGCCTCCGAACCTTCCGCCTCTCCGACTTCCTCTTATCTGGAAGCCTGGAAGGGCCTCCCGGCCGGCCTCCCCTCCCTTAGACTGCGGAGCTCTCTTCCGAACTGAGAAACGCACAGGTGTTAGTCAGGGTGGGCTAACTGTTATAACAAACAATCCCCAAGCAACAGTAGCTGAACATTCCAATCAGGTTTGGTCAGCAGAGAGCCGCCGCTCCGCACAGTCACCCAGGGACCGTCCAACCTGTGACTCCATCACCTTCAAGCAACCACGAGGCCTAAAAGTTACACAGCATTGAGGAGGCACACCCACATTCCAGAGACAAGAACCAGCCATGGGCCCTGCCCAGATGCCAGCAGGCTGAGACGTCGTTTAACTGTGTGCCTGGAAAAGGAAATGGGTTTGATAAGAGCCTAGCCAGTCTCTATTATAACCTCCAAAATCCTCATGTCAAACTGATACCTGATTTAAGGAGGGAGGAGAGACATAAAGAGCGAGTGGGGGCGTGGGGGGCAGCAGGGGCCTGCCGGTGCCAGAGCTGCAGGCTCTGATGCAGACCCTTCCCCCCCCCGGCCGTGTCCTCAGATTGGGAGTGTGAGCCCAGGGTGCTGGCAGACTGGCTTCCCGTCTCCCCACCTCAGCGGCCCCATCTGCCCCCCCGGGAACTCTCACTTGGTCCTCAAGACAGGTGCTGTAGAAGAGCAACCCGCTCCCGAACTCCCCAGCAGGGAGGCCAAGGACAGCCGGGGACAGTCACCCAACCCTGCCTCCTCCCTCTAGTGTTCCTGGTGCAATTGAAGAGGAAGCTGAAGAGCAGAAAGTTATTACAGCTTTTCCATGACGCAATGTCATCAGGAAGCCCTGGGCCTCTGGGCAGCATCCTGGCAGGACCCATCACTCTTCCCAGCTGCACAGAGCCTTGTAGCCCATTCTGGAAAGGGCAGGAAGCAGTCTCATAAAATAAATGGCAAGGCAGGACCACTCATCAGCAGCTCTTCAAAATGATCTAAACTTCTGACTTTTGATTTAAATCTGCATCCACTGTGGCCAAAAACATAAAACAGAAGATGAGAGAAAGAACTAAAATGAAGGCGTGGGTGCCAAGAACTAGAGGGGAGGGAGGGAGGGAAAAGCATCTCTGGGACAATACCAAGTTGAGCACCAGCCAGGCGGGCTGACTTGCAGCCAGGTTGGGTCCTTTTCGTTATGCATCGCTCAGAACTTTCTCCCTTCTGTTACTAGGCTGCCCTGAAATGGGACAGGAGCTTCGAGAGCTAATCCAAGTACCAAATCCAGAAATCTACCTGCTCCTGATTTTGCCCTTCACCTTTCTCCCTCAGACCTCTAGAGAGGAGTATCTCACAAAGGCAGGTGTTCAGCGGGGGTTGGGGGGGCGGGGGAATGGGTAGGTGAGGAAACCCGGGTCCAAACTCTGATGTGGTCTGTTCTCCTCAGATTCATTTAGTGAGAGATGACTCTCTGTCAAGGCCTGCTGTCGGATAGTGACTAGCGTTTTGCAGGGATCCAGAGTGGCAGGGCCACTCCTGAAATGGGGGCCAGGGAAGGCCTCTTTGAGGTGACATCAACTAGAGTGAAGGGAGGGAGGCAGGGCCCAGGGCAGACGACAGAGGTCTCCCCAGAGTGGAGGGGCTTTGGGTACATTGGGCTGCACTTTAGGACCTCATTAGCCTACTCCAGCACACCTTAAACACCTATGAGTCTTGAAAAGCAGCTCACCTCCAGAGAAAGGCAGCAATCTACTACCAGCCTGCCCCTTCCAGTTCACCTTTACACAGGGCACAAACTGACTAACTTCTCCCTTGCAAGTCCAGACCCACTTTTTATGGTAACATATCTGGGTATGGCAGCCAATCATTTCCTCCGGTTGAATAAGTTGAAAGAAGAAAAATCAGGCAATCGTGCCCCACAATACAGCTAAGTATTTAATTCATTTTTAATGTTTACATTATTAACACCAGCATTACAAAATGGTATTTTTACTTTCAAGCGATTTAAATGTACAATTCGGTATCTCAATTACTGGGATCATTATAACTTGAAAAACTGAAGCAGCGCTCCCTCCCTCCTCTCCTTCCCCTCTGGTGCCTGCTTCTATAAAGAGCTACCAGGACTCCATGGAGCCCAAAAACCCATTCCAAATGGATCAGGAGGTACAGCCCTGGTGGGGGCTTGCAAGGAGCCAGGGGAGCTTGCATTCAATGTGGAATGAGTGACAGTCAGCAGGTGGGTGTTAAAATGGTCATCAACTCCCTGAGGACTGGCACTGCCAAGTCACATTCCAGGTGGTACCTATTAATGTGTCCAGAATGGCGCTGGATGACTGACAAGCCAACGGGCCCAGACTCTGGCTCTGACCACCCACAGGCATGAGATGGTGGGGGGCAGAGGTAACACAAGACTGGAGAGGACCCTAGACCCCCTTGGGAAACTATAATGCATCCCGAAAGACCCATCCATGCAGCTCCTGATAACGCCGAAGGGGCATCCTGATGGGGGGTGGAGGGGGGAGAGCGTGGGCTCTGGAGTCAGTCAGCTGGGGTTCGAGTCCAGGTTCCGCCACTTACCAGCTAGCGACCTTGGCAAGTCCTCATCCTCTCTGTACCTGAGTCTCCACCTCTGTAAAATGGAGATAAT